TCTGAGTATAGAAAAATTAAGCAAAGTTTTATTTTCTTTTTTTTCTTATCCAGTGTTTTTCAACCTCAGCAACTTTAAGGTGTGTAGATTTCCCCAGTGCATGGCTGACTGGGGAATTCTGGGAGTTAAAGTCCACCCGTCTTAAAGTTGCCAAGGTTGAAAAACACTGTTATCTCTCTTCTCTTCTCTTCTCTTCTCTTCTCTTCTCTTCTCTTCTCTTCTCTTCTCTTCTCTTCTCTTCTCTTCTCTTCTCTTCCCTTAACTTACCTTACCTTCTTATATCTATAGCCAAATTGCAGGGCAGCAACTTACATATCAAAAGTGTATATATGAACTTGCAGAAATCTTAAAAAGAAACCACATTTTTTTGAACAGCAATCCTTCTGATTAGCATTTGTGTGAAGGAAAGAGCCCTTATCTCATTTCTTTACCTAGACAAAAGAAAGTTGTTCCATATTTGTCTTTCTTCCAATGCACCTTTGATCAGAGTATACCATGCATTATTTGTTTGTTTCTAAGATGGTTCCTCCAAGGTTGACTAAAATAAATTACTTAAAAAAAATAAAATGGTAAAATCTTGCTTATGAGTCAGTTCCTGGTATGGGGTTTAATAGAAATGTCAGCATTCTAAATCTCTTCAGCAAGTCTAGAAATTGTAAAAGTCAGATACAGAACAGTGCAGTTACGAGATCATAGTCTTGATGATTATGCAATCTGAATGGAAAGGATGGTTTGAAGAGCTTTATCTGTAACATGAAACCTTGAATGTTACTGCACATATATAACATCTAGGGAACATCTATCATCTATCTATCATCTCTCTCTATCTCTATCTCTATCTCTCAGATTTTTACTGAAATTTCTTAAGATCACTTTTAGCCACGTTATCACTTTCATCATATAAAATACATCAGATTGATTCAGTATGTAAATTATGGCACTGTAGAACTCATCTAAAGTTTGCAGTCAGTCACAAAAGTATATTCCCTCCTCTCCCTTATTCGTCTTCCATCTTTGGAAAGCTTGGGGAGAAAGATACAATATTTTTCAGATACCCTCTTTGTATCTGAATCACAAACAAAAATTCTAGCTCCCTAACGAAGTTAAAAAGGATTCAGATGTGGCCTCAATCTGCTTCAGAAGCCCTTCAGGTGTATCCCAAATCTGTTCAAATCAGCCCACTGATGTTCAGGGTTCACTCCTGTCATATATCCACCCTGCTTCACTGAAGAACACAAGATCTTATAAAATGCTTATTCCAGTATAAAAATTACTTTAAAAATAAACAGTACATAAAGAGTAATGAAAATATTTGTATGTGATTTTTCTGGTGATCAAAGCCAATCTGTTTTATATAAAAATAAAGATTAAATCATTATCATGGGGAAACCTTACACAGGGGTTTCTCTGCATTTGTTCACTCAATGAAGCAGAGTTCTCTTAGCAGTATTTAGAGTTTGATATTTTAAGCCAATGATGTTTCATAGCCTTCTTGGTGCATTATGAATCTGTGCGCTCCAGAACTGTCCATATTCTTTATTTAATCAGGGGTGTCTGCAGGCTCTGTTCAAAAAAGTCAATATGGCAGCAACACATAAAAAAGCAGGTGGAGCATTGATTGCACTGTCACAGCTGCCATCTTGGTGTTTGTTTTTTAATCATATCCTGAAGACACCTCTGAAGTTAATGCTTAGTCCAATTCTAGAAATGTCAGAAATCACAGAAAGGCATGAGGCTCTACTCTTTCTTTTGTGCTTTTCTTGTTCTGCCCTTCCAAACACACATGTCACCAGAGATACAGCAGATTGCAAGAGAGCCCATCTAACTTACCTGTACACCCTTAGGATGTAGAAATGACTCTAAAGGAAACAACGTTGCTTGAGTTTCATGGTCCACAAGCTGTCCTTTCAAAATAAAATTGGAGAAAGATTGATTTTGTTAAAGAAAGCCTGTGTCATTCCCCAAAGAATGCTCTCAAGTAAAGCATAACATAACCCTGGAATCTTTGCAACTGGTTCTACCAGTTTGTGACAATGACAAAAACTTAGTACCATCCTTAAACATAACAGAAGCATAAGAACTGCACGCTCTCTTTAACAAGCAATTGAAAAATCCAACCTTTGCATACTGTCACTAGGATCGTGATCGTTCTTTTTGAGTTTAATCTGAGTAGCACAATACCTTGAGCTGTTTTCTATCCTTTGTTTGGGTTTCTTCTTAGTATTATGCCTGTTTGCATCATCTCAGTTTTGGGACATGTCAAAGTGGAAGTAAGCAATAGGCTGGCTTGAGACTCCTCCCTTACATTCAAGGTTACGTGCATTCCTTTCTAGTACACCCTCCTTCTCTCAGCTGGGTTTCCCAACTTGATACCTGGGCTGAGTGACATTTGCTTTGGCTTGGCTTAGTTACTTATACAGTGCCAACTTCTTTCAAAACCACCCATCCAGAAAAACTGGCCATTGATAACTGTCAGTCAGCTGGGCTCCACCTAAGACTTTCAGCTGCATTTTATTTCAGAATAGTAAGAGTAAGGGAGCACCTTTAAAACTGAATCATTCAATGTAAATGGGATTCCATGTAAACAGACAACAATAATTGAGGTTGATTTAGAATTCAAAGCAAATTCATGACATTTGTAGGATGTGTTGGCAATTGGTGGACCAGGGCCACAAATGGCCCTTAGAGAAGTTTTTTTGTAGCCTGTGTGGGTACCCAAAGCACTACTGAAATATATTTCTGTCTCAACTCTATTATGAATTGTGTCCCCCCAAAGTCCCCCACCCCACCCCCATTTAGCTCTCTGTGTGACTTGGGATTTATTAGAGTAACAGTACATTTTGTTAGAATAATAATACGTAATGTAGTTAGCTCAGAAACAAAGCCAGGATTAGAAAAGATGAAAATGAAGAGAAAGAGACAATTTGTTGAAGACCAAGGAGAAAACAGTAGATCCTGCTCTACTGCTCTAAAATTATTATTTAATAAATAATTCCATTTATTCTTAAGTTGTTCTGTTCATTATAAACCAGAACATATGATTTGTACAATTTGTAAACACAGAGAGAGAGAGAGTAAGAAGACAGCAAGGATGAGGCCTGATAATGCTTAAAGTAGATAATAAGCAACATGGAGGGAGTAAAATATCCACATTACTAGTCTTGTACCTCAGCAGAAATAGTCTGCAACACAAATAGGAGTGGAAGCAAGACTTTGTATTCATGACTGATGAAGAGAAGAATGTGATAGTAAAACAATTTTACTAGCTACTGTGGGAGAAAGACCATAAAGTACATGTAAAAATAATGCCACAGAACCCTGATAAACTAAAATA